GCCATCAACGTCGAAGCCATTACAAATTAGTCTGGCAGAGTGAGGAGGTTACATCAAGTCCCATTATGGATGAGGGTGTCAAATCATGGCTTAGAACGGCCGTCATAACTTAGGATGTCCCATCATGGCGGACGATGTCTCATTTAGCTGTTAGAAAGTCCTTTCGTGGATATATATAAACATTTTGCAGCCTCTTCACATCCTAGTAGCTGGATGCATTGAATGGCTACAACTTAAAGCTTGTTGCATTTTTCAGAAATAGCAATTATCAGGAAAAAGTCGTTAAAAGTATCGAGTCTTGGGTCATGTCTCCGTAAGTAGGTGGAGCAGAGGTCACGATGCTTTGGTAGTAGACTCGATGCCCATCCGAGGGTGGAGTGGTATTAAAGCCATCACGATAACTTGTATACTTTAGTCCTGAACATAGTCCAGGGCTAAAAGTAAGCTCTCAGTGTACACAAAGAAATTGGGTACACCTCTCAGTGTATATACACCAGTATGTCCAGGTCAAGTACCTTCATTGTTGCGTTTCGGATGAGGGTCTAAGTTGAACTGCCGGTTGTGGCACCCGCACCGCCTTATATACGGCCGCGGAAGGCGCGACTGGCCTTGCCCGCGTCGTGACGTCATAACTAAGATGAGGGAAGGTCATAATAAAAACTGAAATAGCTTATCATAGCAGTGAACCAGTAAAGATTTAGGTGAGAGCTATCATTATAGCAGGGAGGTCTTTATGGGGGGAGTGGTCTTTATAGCAGGTCTACGGGAGCGAGGTTTCGATGAGAGGGGGATCCTCTCTCAGAGTCTTTTGCGAGAGAAAGATCCTCTTTTATTATAGAGTTTTGAGAAATTGCATGTAAAACTGGCTATGGAAAATACGCATTTTACTGGCGAGAAGTCTGTGTGTTTCCTTTATAAGAACGTTTTACGAAAAAAAGAAGAGAGAGATTGATATTTTTAAAGAAGAGAGATTGATATTGTTTTTTTATTGGAATTTGATCTAAGTGTTTAGTGAGAGTGAAGTCTTTTAAAGAAGAGGCAGAAAGTCTTGCATATGAAAGGCATTAAAAAGGAGAGCGCTAATTTTATTCGGAGAGACAAATATTTCATGACAGAAATAACTTTTAAATCAGGTCTGAAGCGTGAGAGACAGAGGACAAGTATGGTAATAAGGTCCCATATTGAAAAGTCTCCCTAGATGGGGATGGGAGGATACACTTGACTGGTCGGTACATCACCAACCTATCTTACAGGGACGGCGTTCGATCCCCGATGGTCCAAGTGGATTATAACGCCCTCTCCTAGCTCTAGGACCCTCATATTCCCTTCCAAGCACTTTGTAGTCACACTGGCTTAGCACTTTCTCCTTAGTCCATATTTCCACACTTAACTCCACCTTCCGGGGAACGTGAGTCCAGCTGGACCTTTATGACCAACTGCCAGACGCCTGAGCTGGTCTAACCATCCTCCCAGACCACTAAGACCAGCTAGTAGACATTGGACTAGTCAAACCACCCAGCAAGACCACTAATACCAACTAGCTGACCCTGGGCTGGTTAAACTATACAGCTTCATCATTGTTTCAAAATGAAAGGAATCGCCTCGCTCTGTTAAACAACTTTAGCATCACTTCCGATGTGATTGTTGTTCCTGGACGGTCTCTGGGCTTATGGACCGCCCTGTTGGACGGCCTCTGGGCTTATGGACCGCCCTGTTGGACGGCCTCTGGGCTTATGGACCGCCCTGTTGGACGGCCTCTGGGCTTATGGACCGCCCTGTTGGACGGCCTCTGGGCTTATGGACCGCCCTGTTGGACGGCCTCTGGGCTCATGGACCGCCCTGTTGGACGGCCTCTGGGCTTATGGACCGCCCTGTTGGACGGCCTCTGGGCTTATGGACCGCCCTGTTGGACGGCCTCTGGGCTTATGGACCGCCCTGTTGGACGGCCTCTGGGCTTATGGACCGCCCTGTTGGACGGCCTCTGGGCTCATGGACCGTTCTGTTGGACGGCCTCTGGGCTTATGGACCGCCCTGTTGGACGGCCTCTGGGCTCATGGACCGCCCTGTTGGACGGCCTCTGGGCTTATGGACCGCCCTGTTGGACGGCCTCTGGGCTCATGGACCGTTTTGTTGGACGGCCTCTGGGCTTATGGACCGCCCTGTTGGACGGCCTCTGGGCTTATGGACCGTTCTGTTGGACGGTCTCTGGGCTTATGGACCGCCCTGTTGGACGGTCTCTGGGCTTATGGACCGCCCTGTTGGACGGCCTCTGGGCTTATGGACCGTTCTGTTGGACGGCCTCTGGGCTCATGGACCGTTCTGTTGGACGGCCTCTGGGCTCATGGACCGCCCTGTTGGACGGCCTCTGGGCTTATGGACCGCCCTGTTGGACGGCCTCTGGGCTTATGGACCGCCCTGTTGGACGGCCTCTGGGCTTATGGACCGCCCTGTTGGACGGCCTCTGGGCTCATGGACCGTTCTGTTGGACGGCCTCTGGGCTTATGGACCGCCCTGTTGGACGGCCTCTGGGCTCATGGACCGTTCTGTTGGACGGCCTCTGGGCTTATGGACCGCCCTGTTGGACGGCCTCTGGGCTTATGGACCGTTCTGTTGGACGGTCTCTGGGCTTATGGACCGTTCTGTTGGACGGCCTCTGGGCTTATGGACCGCCCTGTTGGACGGCCTCTGGGCTTATGGACCGTTCTGTTGGACGGCCTCTGGGCTCATGGATCGTTCTGTTGGACGGCCTCTGGGCTCATGGACCGCTCTGTTGGACGGCCTCTGGGCTTATGGACCGCCCTGTTGGACGGCGTCTGGGCTTATGGACCGCCCTGTTGGACAGCCTCTGGGCTTATGGACCGCTCTGTTGGACGGCCTCTGGGCTCATGGACCGCCCTGTTGGACGGCCTCTGGGCTTATGGACCGCCCTGTTGGACGGTCTCTGGGCTCATGGACCGCCCTGTTGGACGGTCTCTGGGCTCATGGACCGCCCTGTTGGACGGCCTCTGGGCTTATGGACCGCCCTGTTGGACGGCCTCTGGGCTTATGGACCGCCCTGTTGGACGGCCTCTGGGCTTATGGACCGCCCTGTTGGACAGCCTCTGGGCTTATGGACCGCTCTGTTGGACGTCATCTGGGCTGATGGACCGCTCTGTTGGACGTCCTCTGGGCTGATGGACCGTCTTGAGCTAGTGCTATTGTGCCTGTTCTTTCATGGCACTGACTTAGGTTTTAACAATTATTTACTTGGGTTTAAATTATTAAGCTGCTCCTACCAGCTTGTTTATGAGATGTCTCGGACTGTTCATTTCCAGTTCCTAATTTGATTATTAAAATTAAAATTTTCACAATTCTCCTGAAATTGATTGCCATGATTGTCTGAGCTTCGATGAGCTTCATTTGTTTTTTTAATCATTATGTTTAATCATAATCATTTCATCATTTTTAATCATTATCAGTTCAAGGTTGTTCAAATAATGTCAGTGGAGTTGTCTAGTTGTTTCTGCTATTTTGCATGTTCAAGGCGAATCTGTCGTGTAACCACAGGAGCCTACGTGTGTGTGTGTGTGTGTGTGTGTGTGTGTGTTCATTTAGACTGTTTCCTGAAGGTCCGTAATGTAAGGGTGCTAGAGGTGTAGACGGCGTTGCTCGGGTGATGAGCTACATAGTCTCCCTGGCTTGGTGCCTTCTTTTGTTAATGTTGTTGTTTTAGATTCTACTTGAAAATGTTCCAAGTAGCACGGTCTATGGTGAGCCCGTAATGGACTTACCCTGGCACAGGAGATGTACGTTTTGATAATTACCTACCCTGTCAACCTACCACCCTGTCTGCCTATTACGCCAGGTACCCTGTCAGTCTACCACTCCCAGGAACCGGGCTCTTCAAGCGCAGTTTGGAGGTTTAGTGGTACCCACTGACCTCAGGTCACGATAGCCTCCTCTTTAATCATCTCATCGTCCTCATTTGTGCACCTCCCTTCCATTTGAATTCATCTTCCTTCCCTTTGGATTCACTTTGCTTCCTTCCCTCTGTATTCACTTTCCTTTCCCTTGGATTCACGTTCCTTCCCTCTGTTTTCACTTTAGTTCCCTTTGGATTCATCTTCCTAGGCCTATTGGGGTCTCAGCGTAGGCCCCCTCTTGCGCGATGTTATGGAGGGGGCTACATGCCCCCTCCGTAACAGCTTCAGTGAGCAGACTGGGACCTTGTCATGTTCAAAGTTAATTGACTGGTATTTCTGGTGGCCCGGGCCGCAGCGGACTGGTTCCTGTACACGCCTCCGCCCGGAGAGAGGGAGACTTTCTTACCTGTAAAGTTGTCTAAATTATGGGGATGCGTTCTTATATCTCGTAGTGGGTGTGGATTGTGAGGAGAAACGTCGACCGGAAAGCCGAAACATAATTCATTGCACAGACATACGCTTTGGGTACAGGCATATGCCATGGGCACAGCCACAATCCGTGGATACAGGCACAAGCCGTGGGTACAGGCACAAGCCGGATGTGCCGTACCCAGGTACATATGCCATGGGTACCAACACAAGCCATAGGTACAGGCATAAGCAATTGGTTCAGATATAAGCCGTGGGTTCATATGTCATGGGAACAGGCATAGCCGTTGGAATAGACATAAACTATGGGTACAAACATATGCCATGGGTATCGACATAAGCCTTGGGTACAGGCATAAACCATGGGTACAAATATTATTTTTGCCCCAACTAAATGTATCAAGGTTACATGTAAAAGTTTTTTTCAGATTCACTCTATTTTTATTGTCATATTTAAAGAATCTTTGTATAAAAAAGTATATGTACAATTAGTACAAGCACTAATCAGCCGGCGGTGCAGATGGTGCATGAAGCCGATGACCCAGTGGTAGGGGTCTCCGGGGCTTGAAGAGCCTTCAGGAGCCTTAAATCTCCAGCTGCATGCCTTGCAGATGCTTCAGGAGCGACAGATCAGCACCTTCGAGGGCCTTCATGAAGCGTAGGTCTTCAGCAACCAATAAATAATATGGCAGACCGAGACGCTTCAAGTTGCTCTCTGCGTGGCACGGTGAAGGAAACAAAGTCGGTGGTAATATACGAATAGAGATGTGAACTCATCTTCATATTTCCTATTTTCCTGGTTGAGTGTAGAACTGTGAGGGCTGCTGAGCAGGCTGAGAGTATACCTGCCTAGGAGGTGAGGCAGGCTGGGAATACACCTGGCTAGGAGGGGAGGCAGGCTGAGAGTACACCTGCCTAGGAGCTGAGGCAGGCTGCCCATGCGCTAGAGCAGGCAGAGAGTATCCCTGGCTAGGTGTTGAAGCAGGCTGAGCGTAGCCCCTGGCCGGGGCGCTGGGATACTGGGCCTTGCCCTCATAGGTGATAGTAGGGTGGTAGCCGGACTCGTCGGCGTAGTAGTCCACCCTCATGAGCCGGGTGTCCGGCAGCCGGACGAAGTAACTGTGAATGCAAGAATTCAAAGCTGTTATCGTGTTTTAGTCTCAATAGCTGTGAAATTCATCCTGTGTTGAAGGAGAAAACCAAGTGTTAAGAGGCGCTGCAAGTTGATAAAATGACTTTTATAGTTACGAGTGATCACTAATATTTGTGAAAAGTTAAACATTCTTTCCACGTTAAAAATACTTACTTATCAAGAAAGTTCAGAGAAGTTTATATTTAATGCTGCATTAGGAATGACTCACGTTCCCTGGGTGTTGTCTCCGTCTCTCTGTTCTCGGTGACCGTAAAAATTGCCTGAATATTCGTCGTTGACGTCCCACTGGAAGTTGTACTGGGCGGGGGCATCTGGGTACTGGCCGCCTCCCTGTACAGCCGGTTGCTGGTAGTTGTAGCCGCCCTGGGGAGCCGCCCATGCCGCCACCGCCGCCGCCGACGCCGCCAAGATCACCAAAGCCACTGCCTGAAGGAGAAGCAACGCGATCAAACCGAATACTGAGATGCTGTCGTGGAATTAATCACGGTTAAATGCTCCAATCTTAATGACGACGCTAAGAATCCTGTTTAGCTTCGTCGTTTCTCTCACGTGACCTTGTATAGAGAATGGGGAAATTACGTGATTTCATTCAGCCTTAGGAAGAAAGACTTCCTAAGGCTGGGAGTTTGATGTCCTTTACCTTGACTATTCTGTAACACCCGTGTGTATGTAACAATGAGATTACGAGTTCAACATCAAGCCTTGTATAGGAATGTGTCACAACTTTGGTTTCTAGTCTAAAATCACGCTTCATCCACTCCAGAACATCGTGTTCCTGGAAAGTATGCTTTAGATTGCACATTTAAATAATATTTAAAACATATGCTGCAACAAAATAAACTTCTCATTACTTAAACGTAGTGAATTGCAGGAATTAGCCAACAACGTCGAAGCCATTACAAATTAGTCTGGCAGAGTGAGGAGGTTACATCAAGTCCCATTATGGATGAGGGTGTCAAATCATGGCTTAGAACGGCCGTCATAACTTAGGATATCCCATCATGGCGGACGATGTCTCATTTAGCTGTTAGAAAGTCCTTTCGTGGATATATATAAACATTTTGCAGCCTCTTCACATCCTAGTAGCAGGATGCATTGAATGGCTACAACTTGAAGCTTGTTGCATTTTCAGAAATGGCAATTATCAGGAAAAAGTCATTAAAAGTATCGAGTCTTGGGTCATGTCTCCGTAAGTAGGTGGAGCAGAGGTCACGATGCTAGTAGACTCGACGCCCATCCGAGGGTGGAGTGGTATTAAAGCCATCACGATAACTTGTATACTTTAGTCCTGAACATAGTCCAGGGCTAAAAGTAAGCTCTCAGTGTACACCAAGAAGTTGGGTACACCTCTCAGTGTATATACACCAGTATGTCCAGGTCAGATACCTTCATTGTTGCGTTTCGGATGAGGGTCTAAGTTGAACTGCCGGTTGTGGCACCCGGACCGCCTTATATACGGCCGCGGAAGGCGCGACTGGCCTTGCCCGCGTCGTGACGTCATAACTAAAATGAGGGAAGGTCATAATAAAAACTGAAATAGCTTATCATAGCAGTGAACCAGTAAAGATTTAGGTGAGAGCTATCCATTATAGCAGGGAGGTCTTTATGGGGGGAGTGGTCTTTATAGCAGGTCTACGGGAGCGAGGTTTCGATGAGAGGGGGATCCTCTCTCAGAGTCTTTTGCGAGAGAAAGATCCTCTTTTATTATAGAGTTTTGAGAAATTGAATGTAAAACTGGCTATGGAAAATACGCATTTTACTGGCGAGAAGTCTGTGTGTTTCCTTTATAAGAACGTTTTACGAGATAAAGAAGAGAGAAATTGATATTTTTTTTATTAGAATTTGAATTTAATCTAAGTGTTTAGTGAGAGTGAGGCTCTTTAAAGAAGAGGCAGAAAGTCTTGCATATGAAAGACTTTAGAAAGGAGAGCGCTAATTTTATTAGGAGAGACAAATATTTCGTGACAAAAATATCTTTTAAATGAGGTGTGAAGCGTGAGAGACAGAGGACAAGTATGGTAGAAAGGTCCCATATTGAAAAGTCTCCCTAGATGGGGATGGGGGGTTACACTTGACTGGTCGGTACATCACCAAACTATCTTACAGGGACGGCGTTCGATCCCCGATGGTCCAAGTGGATTATAACGCCCTCTCCTAGCTCTAGGACCCTCATATTCCCTTCCAAGCACTTTGTAGTCACACTGGCTTAGCACTTTCTCCTTAGTCCATATTTCCACACTTAACTCCACCTTCCGGGGAACGTGAGCCCAGCTGGACCTTTATGACCAACTGCCAGACGCCTAAACTGGTCTAACCATCCTCCCAGACCACTAAGACCAGCTAGTAGACATTGGACTAGTCAAACCACCCAGCAAGACCACTAATACCAACTAGCAGACCCTGGGCTGGTTAAACTATACAGCTTCATCATTGTTTCAAAATGAAAGGAATCGCCTCGCTCTGTTAAACAACTTTAGCATCACTTCCTGTGGGATTGTTGTTCCTGGACGGTCTCTGGGCTTATGGACCGCCCTGTTGGACGGCCTCTGGGCTTATGGACCGCCCTGTTGGACGGCCTCTGGGCTTATGGACCGCCCTGTTGGACGGCCTCTGGGCTTATGGACCGTTCTGTTGGACGGCCTCTGGGCTTATGGACCGCCCTGTTGGACGGCCTCTGGGCTTATGGACCGCCCTGTTGGACGGCCTCTGGGCTTATGGACCGCCCTGTTGGACAGCCTCTGGGCTTATGGACCGCTCTGTTGGACGTCATCTGGCCTGATGGACCGTCTTGAGCTAGTGCTATTGTGCCTGTTCTTTCATGGCACTGACTTAGGTTTTAACAATTATTTACTTGGGTTTAAATTATTGAGCTGCTCCTCCCAGCTTGTTTATGAGATGTCTGGGACTGTTCATTTCCAGTTCCTAATTTGATTATTAAAATTAAAATTTTCACAATTCTCCTGAAATTGACATTGACCATGATTGTCTGAGCTTCGATTCTTTTTTTAATCATTATGTTTAATCATAATCATTTCATCATTTTTAATCATTATCAGTTCAAGGTTGTTAAAATAATGTCAGTGGAGTTGTCTAGTTGTTTCTGCTATTTTATCATGTTCAAGGCGAATCTGTCGTGTAACCACAGGAGCCTACGTGTGTGTGTGTGTGTGTGTGTTCATTTAGACTGTTTCCTGAAGGTCCGTAATGTAAGGGTGCTAGAGGAGGTGTAGACGGCGTTGCTCGGGTGATGAGCTACATAGTCTCCCTGGCTTGGTGCCTTCTTTTGTTAATGTTGTTGTTTTAGATTCTACTTGAAAATGTTCCTAGTAGCACGGTCTATGGTGAGCCCGTAATGGACTTACCCTGGCACAGGAGATGTACATTTTGATAATTACCTACCCTGTCAACCTACCACCCTGTCTGCCTATTACGCCAGGTACCCTGTCAGTCTACCACCCCCAGGAACCGGGCTCTTCAAGCGCAGTTTGGAGGTTTAGTGGTACCCACTGACCTCAGGTCACGATAGCCTCCTCTTTAATCATCTCATCGTCCTCATTTGTGCACCTCCCTTCCATTTGAATTCATCTTCCTTCCCTTTGGATTCACTTTGCTTCCTTCCCTCTGTATTCACTTTCCTTCCCCTTGGATTCACGTTCCTTCCCTCTGTTTTCACTTTAGTTCCCTTTGGATTCATCTTCCTAGGCCTATTGGGGTCTCAGCATAGGCCCCCTCTTGCGCGATGTTACGGAGGGGGCTACATGCCCCCTCCGTAACAGCTTCAGTCAGCAGACTGGGACCTTGTCATGTTCAAAGTTAATTGACTGGTATTTCTGGTGGCCCGGGCCGCAGCGGACTGGTTCCTGTACACGCCTCCGCCCGGAGAGAGGGAGACTTTCTTACCTGTAAAGTTGTCTAAATTATGGGGATGCGTTCTTATATCTCGTAGTGGGTGTGGATTGTGAGGAGAAACGTCGACCGGAAGGCCGAAACATAATTCATTGCACAGACATACGCTTTGGGCACAGGCATATGCCATGGGCACAGGCACAATCCATGGGTACAGGCACAAGCCGTGGATACCGGCACAAGCCGTGGGTACAGGCACAAGCCGTGGATACAGGCACAAGCCGTGGGTACAGGCACAAGCCGTGGGTACCGGCACAAGCCGTGGATTGTGCCGGTACCCACATAAACATATGTCATGGGTATCAACACAAGCTATAGGTACAGGCATAAGCAATTGGTTCAGATATAAGCCGTGGGTACATATGTCATGGGAACAGCCATAGCCGTTGGTATAGACATAAACTATGGGTACAAACATATGTCATGGGTATCGACATAAGCCATGGGTACAGGCATAAACCATGGATACAAATATTATTTTTGCCCCAGCTAAATGCATCAAGGCTACAAGTAAAAAAAAATTCAGATTCACTCTATTTTTATTGTCATATTTAAAGCATCTTTGTAAAAAAGTATATGTACAATTAGTACAAGCACTAATCAGCCGGCGGTGCATGAAGCCGATGACCCAGTGATAGGGGTCTCCGGGGCTTGAAGAGCCTTCAGGAGTCTTAAATCTCCAGCTGCATGCCTTGGAGACGCTTCAGGAGCGACAGATCAGCACCTTCCAGGGCCTTCAGGAAGCGCAGGTCTTTAGCAACCGTTTAGTAATATGGCAGACCGAGACACTGCAAGTTGCTCTCTGAGTGGCACGGTGAAGGAAACAAAGTCGGTGGTAATATACGAATAGAGATGTGAACTCATCTTCATATTTCCTATTTTCCTGGTTGAGTGTAGAACTGTGAGGGCTGCTGAGCAGGCTGAGAGTATACCTGCCTAGGAGCTGAGGCAGGCTGAGAGTACACCTGTCTAGGAGCCGAGGCAGGCTGCCCATGCGCTAGAGCAGGCAGAGAGTAACCCTGGCTAGGTGCTGAAGCAGGCTGAGCGTAGCCCCTAGCCGGGGCGCTGGGATACTGGGCCTCGCCCTCATAGGTGATAGTAGGGTGGTAGCCGGACTCGTCGGCGTAGTAGTCCACCCTCATGAGCCGGGTGTCCGGCAGCCGGACGAAGTAACTGTGAACGCAAGAATTTAATGCTGTTATCGTGTTTTAGTCTCAATAGCTGTGAAATTCATCCTATGTTGAAGGAGAAAACCAAGTGTTAAGAGGCGCTGCAAGTTGATAAAATGACTTTTATAGTTACGAGTGATCACTAATATTTCTGAAAAGTTAAACATTCTTTCCACGTTAAAAATGCTTACTTATCAAGAAAGTTCAGAGAAGTTTATATTTATTGCTGCATTAAGAATGACTCACGTTCCCTGGGTGTTGTCTCCGTCCCTCTGCTCTCGGTGACCGTAGAAATTGCCTGAATATTCGTCGTTGACGTCCCACTGGAAGTTGTACTGTGCGGGGGCGTCGGGGTACTGGCCGCCTCCCTGTACAGATGGTTGCTGGTAGTTGTAGCCGCCCTGGGGAGCCGCCCATGCCGCCGCCGACGCTGCCACCCCCGCCAAGATCACCAAAGCCACTGCCTGAAGGAGAAGCAACGCGATCAAACCGAATACTGAGATGCTGTCGTGGAATTAATCACTGTTAAATGCTCCAATCTTAATGACGACGCTAAGAATCCTGTTTAGCTTCGTCGTTTCTCTCACGTGACCTTGTATAGAGAATGGGGAAATTACGTGATTTCATTCAGCCTTAGGAAGAAAGACTTCCTAAGGCTGGGAGTTTGACGTCCTTTACCTTGACTATTCTGTAACACCCGTGTGTATGTAACAATGAGATTACGAGTTCAACATCAAGCCTTGTATAGGAATGTGTCACAACTTTGGTTTCTAGTCTAAAATCACGCTTCATCCACTCCAGAACATCGTGTTCCTGGAAAGTATGCTTTAGATTGCACATTTAAATAATATTTAAAACATATGCTGCAACAAAATAAACTTCTGATTACTTGATCGTAGTGAATTGCAGGAATTGGCCATCAACGTCGAAGCCATTACAAATTAGTCTGGCAGAGTGAGGAGGTTACATCAAGTCCCATTATGGATGAGGGTGTCAAATCATGGCTTAGAACGGCCGTCATAACTTAGGATATCCCATCATGGCACACGATGTCTCATTTAGCTGTTAGAAAGTCCTTTCGTGGATATATATAAACATTTTGCAGCCTCTTCACATCCTAGTAGCAGGATGCATTGAATGGCTACAACTTACAACTTGTTGCATTTTCAGAAATGGCAATTATCAGGAAAAAGTCATTAAAAGTATCGAGTCATGTCTCCGTAAGTAGGTAGAGCAGAGGTCACGATGCTAGTAGACTCGACGCCCATCCGAGGGTGGAGTGGTATTAAAGCCATCATGATAACTAGTATTCTTTAGTCCTGAACATAGTCCAGGGC